GGCCTCAGTGTGAGAAGGCCTCAGTGAGAGAAAGCCTCAGTGTGAGAAGGCCTCAGTGTGAGAAGGCCTCAGTGTGAGAAGGCCTCAGTGTGAGAAAGCCTCAGTGTGAGAAGGCCTCAGTGTGAGAAGGCCTCAGTGAGAAGGCCTCCGTGTGAGAAGGCCTCCGTGTGAGAAGGCCTCAGTGTGAGAAGGCCTCAGTGTGAGAAGGCCCCAGTGTGAGAAAACCCAGCTGGAAGGCCTCAAGTGTCAAGCTATGATGATGGATCTGGACCAAACTTGGCACAAATATTCCATATGCCCAAATAGGAACACAGATGGAGTTTGGGGGAAATAGACCTTGACATTTGAGAGTTATTATTATTATTAACTTTATTTGTACCCCGCTAGCATCTCCCGAAGGACTCGATGCGGCTTACAAAGGCCAAGGCCTCACACAACAATATAACTATATAACACATAAGCTAATTAAAAACAGTTAAGCAATACTAAACAACAAATAATAAACAATGCATCAAGACAACTATAAAACTATAAAACTGGGACCAGGCCAAAGTAGTGGGCACAGGATTAAAAGTGCTGATGTGACAGGTGATATGTAAGGATTATAGGGTAGTGCAGTGTGCGGTGTGCAGCAATCTTAGTTCTACTCAAGTGCTTCTGGGACTTGTTATTGGAGATTCCTATTCTGGAAAGGCAGATCAAATACAACTGAACACAGGAAGACGGTAAAATTGAACATAGGAATGGCACAAGGATTATGAGAATGGATCTTGTTTTGTTATCGAGGCGTTTGAATTGATAGTAATTGTTGATTTTGTTATTGTGTATGATGTGTTTTAATCTGTTTACTGTTGTGATAATTTGCATTGTGTAAACCGCATTGAGTCGCCTAATTAGGCTGAAAAAATGCGGTATAGAAATAAAGCAAATAAATAAATAAATAAATAAATAAAATAACTCACATATAGACAATAACACACACAAGGATTTAAAAAACTATGGCCGGGCCAGATGTAATAGAGGGAGGGTGTTCCAGAGTCGGGGGGCCACCACCGAGAAGGCCCTGTCTCGCGTCCCCACTAAACGTGCCTGGGACGCCGGCAGAATCACGAGCAGGGCCTCTCCAGATGACCGAAGAGAACGCGTGGGTTCATAGACGGAGATGCGGTCACGCAGGTAGGGTGGTCCCAAACCGTTTAGGGCTTTGTAGGTAAGCACCTGCACCTTAAATTGGGCTAGGAAAATAAACGGCAGCCAGTGGAGCTCTTTGAGTTGTAGTTACTGGGATCATCTACAATCAAAGAGCATTCTGAACCCTACCAACAACGGAATTGGGGCAAACTTCCCACAGGGAACCCCCATACTTAAGCCCATCTAGTCCAACTCCCTTCATCAGGGCAACGTAATCAAAGCCCTCCTGACAAAGAGCCATCCAGCCATAGATAGAGATAGATATGATTCACACACACCTTGATTTGAAAGGGACCCCTAAAGAAGGGCAATTACATGTTGCATGTTCCAGAGTAGGCAAACCAGACACTCTCCACATCAACACTGACAAAGAAACAGCAAGAAATACTGTTTATCCACAAGCAGAAAGAAATTGCATATATTACAAACCAATACTTTCTAATTTATTTTCCAGATCTCCAGACTGGGCCACAGCAACGCCTGGCAGGGGACGGCTAGTGATTTGCCATTTTCTGGATGAGAGAGAAAAGAGGAAGGAAAGGAGGAAGGGATTTCAGCGTGGCCTTGAATCGAAGAGAAGTCAGCACAACTCACTGGTTTATCAAACATCCTCCTGAAGCATTGCCAAATATAGGAGCTTGTTTGCAAAAGGCATTTATTTGAAAACTTACCAAAATACGACATTGATTGGATAAAAGCGCTTAAAGAAGAAATCCAACGTTCAGTCGAAACCTCCTAAAATGGAGAAAGGAAAACAACGTGAGAAGATGTTGGCTGAAGGTACAGAAGTTGTGAAACCACTGGAAATGCTGACTGGATTAATCAAGAGTGCCAATTATAAACTAGATCAAATAAATGCCATCTTGAAGAAATCTCTAGTGGCCCCCAAAGAAGGACAATGGAAACTGGGAAAGCAGGAAGGGGAAACGGAAGGTAAACAAAGGGTCACAAAGAAGGAATCCAGAGGGAACCATGACATATCTTGATTGGAGGCCTCTCTTGTTCCAGCTGGACTTCTGCCTGGCGTCCATTCCGTCATGGTTCGCCCTGGATTCCTTCTTTGTCAAGCCGCTTTGAGTCCCCTTTGGGAAGATACGGCAGGGGAGAAATGTAACAATAACAACAACAAATAGCTCTAAGCGGTTTTGGTACTTGGTCAGTGGACGGAGTCATTCAAGCCCAACCTTCACCTCATCCAAACAGATCTGGTCCTTTTCCCACCCTCTCTCAGGCGGGTGAGTGAGAAGCCCAGAGCTGAGCGAGAGATTCTCCTGAATGGACTGACACGCGGTCCCCTCTTTCAGGACGGGAAGTGGCAGGCCTCTCGTATCTCCCAACGTGATTTGAGGCCTCTCTTGTTCCAGCTGGACTTCTGCCTGGCGTCCATTCCATCATGGTTCCCTCCGGATTCCTTCTTTGTCAAGCCACTTTGAGTCCCCTTTGGGAAGATACGGCAGGGGAGAAATGTAACAAGAACAACAACAACAACAACAACAACAAACAGTTTTGGTACTTCTCATACTGTTGTTGTTGTTGTTGTTACATTTCTCCCCTGCCGTATCTTCCCAAAGGGGACTCAAAGCGGCTTGACATGAAAGCATTATGAGAAGGGCGGCATGGAGATGTCGTAAATGAATCAATGGTGAGACATAGAGTAGGTAGAGACTGCAAAGGTCACCCAGCCCAGGAAGGAGGACACAACACAAGCCCTCCCGACAGATGTCCACCCGGCCTCTGCTGAGAGACCTCCCGAGAAGGAGGCCCCTCCTGCTGGACCCCCAGGAAAGCCTCCCCAGTGTCCAGGGTGGTCAGGGCAGGAGAGAGTCGGGCGGGACCCTCGAGGTCATCCATCCCACCCTCTTCTGTCAAGCAGGAAGGCACCACCCGATCCCTCCTCACAGATGGCCATCCAGCCTACGCTCAAAACCTCCAGGGAAGGAAGGAAGGAAGGAAGGAAGGAAGGAAGGAAGGAAGGAAGGAAGGAAGGAAGGAAGGAAGGGAGCTCCTCCGAACTCCAGGCAGTCTGGGAGGGGGGACCCCAAAGGGCATCCATCCTGACCCCATCAGGCACAGAGAGAGAGAGAAGGGCGGCTGATCAAGGTGGTCAACAAAGGAAGAAAGGGAGAAATACGGCGTGTTGTGGAGTGGGGAAGGCGAGCCTCCCTTGCCACAGGAGGGCCCAGGCCGAGGAGGAGGCCGCGCTCTTTGGCCTGTGTTTCCTGGAAAGGGAAGGAGGGAGGGAGGGAGAGGCGGGCTCGGAGGAGGAGGAGGAGGAGGCCGCGCCCTTCCTTCCCCCCAGAAGACGGAGCCCAGGCCGAGAAGGAAGGAAGGAAGGAAGGCCCTTCCACGCCACACTCACTCACTCGGGCCTCTCTCTCTCTCTCTCTCTCTCTCTCTCCCTCGCCCACAGGCCCGATACCGCCCTCAGCTCCTCCGGAAGGGAGCTCCCTGGGAAAGGCCGAGCCCGAGCCCCTCTAGGAAACGGTGCCTGGCCCCTCTCGCTGGGCCTCCGCCAAGACCAAAGATGGCCGCGGCCGCGCGCGGGCTGGGTGCCCAGAGAGAGGCGGGGCTTCTTGGCGGCACTGGCCAGTCAGGAGCAAGAGCGCCCCCTCCCTTCCTTCCTTCCTTCTCCTCCAAAGGCTCAGCACCCACCCGCCCGCCAATAGGAATTCTCCGTCCTCTCTGGCGTCACCGGTCTCCGGGCAGAAACTCCCTCACTCTGAAGGCTCCCTCCCTGGCTTCCTCCCTCCCTCCCTGCGTCCATTCTCCTCAGCATGCATCATCCGAGGCAGGAGGGAAATACACACGCTAGGAAGGATTCGCGGCCGGAATCACCGGCTTGCTGTGAGTTTCCCAGGCTGCCTGGCCGTGTTCCAGAAGCATTCCCTCCTGACGTTTCGCCCACCCCTCTGGCAGGCACCCTCCGAGGTTGCGAGGTCTCTCTCTTGGAAACGACGAGGCGAGCGAGCGGGGTTTACGTATCTGTGGAAAGATGTCCTGGGTGGGAGAGGGAACTCGGGCCTGTTGCCAATGGCCAGGCTGATTAGCATGGCGTGGCCTTGTAGCTTCAAAGCCTGGCTGATTGCTGCCTGGGCCAGGTCCTTTGTTGGGAGGTGTTAGCTGGCCCTGATTGTTTCATGCCAGGAATTCCCCTGTTTTGTGAGTGTTCCACTTCAATCTCAGGACTGTGAATCAAGAGGAACCCTCAAACAAGAGGGGACTTCCAGCCAGGGCCAGCTAACACCTCCCAAGAAAGGATCCCCCCAGGCAGGCAGGAAGCAGCCAGGCTTTGAAGCTGCAAGGCTCTTCAGTGCCAATCAAGGCGGCTAATTGCAACCTCCACACTTGCCACCTCAAGCAGACAGGAGTCCTTTCTCCCTCCCTGGACATCACTCCACAGATACATAAACCTCACTTGCCTCGTTTCCAACGGACCCATAGATGTGGGTGAAACGTCAGGAGAGAATGCTTCTGGAACAGGGCCAGGCAGCCCAGGAAACTCACAGCAACACATGCGATGTAGTTGACCAGTCCATCTGAGTAGCTCAGTGTCAGGTAGACTGACTCACACCTTGGATAAGGCCACAGCCACGGACCTCGTTTGACACCTTGTCAATCAACCATCAAGCCCCCGGATCTTCGATGCCACCCATGCAAGGCCTCTGTTCCCCCTGACCCGCTCCTCTCTCGGTCCTCTGCTCTCATGGCGGCATCTCTCCTCTCCATAGGAACAGACCTCTGAGGAATGATGGGAGCTGCAATCCGCAACACTCTCTGGGGCTTTCCTGGCATTTGCGGGATGCGCCAATGGGCTGATGCTCCCTCTCCCATTCCTGCCATTCAGAGAGGACACCAGTCAGCCTGGATCTGGACCACAGTCTCATCCAATGACTACCCAACCCACAAGCCTGGCCCTCCCTCCCTCCCTCCCTCCCTGCCTGTTGGACTGGGCTTCTGTTCTGCTCCCCTTCAGTCTCTCTCTCTCTCTCTCTGTATCCGAAATAGTAAACATTAACTAGGTAGACTTAATGACAAAACATGTAAGCCAAGCTCTGAAAAGGTTCAATAGAAGCAGGTGTGCCTGTAGCTCAGCAGGCCTCAGGGTGAGAAGGCCTCAGTGTTAGTTGCCCTCAGTGTGAGAAGGCCTCAGTGAGAGAGAAGCCCCAGGTTGAAGGCCTCTGCTGTAAAGCTCCTGTGTCAGTTTGTTGTGAGGAGGCGGCTCTGTGAGGGCAAAGCTGTTAATCTGCATGAGGAAGAAGCCCAGGAATGGCATGTTAGACCAGGAAGGAAGGAAGGGGAAGTCCTGGGAGTGTGGGGGGAAAGGGAAGCCCAAGGAAAGGGTCCCAAGGTGCTCCTGAGGGCGGGAAAGGCTGAGAAGCAGGACAAGAGGGGAGAGGGAGGGTCCCTCGGGGGGGGGCAGGACCCCCCCCTCCCAACACTCCCTAGAGGAGAAGGGAAGGCGCCTTTCCCATGAGGTATCTCAAACTGAACTGACACAGCCCCCCCCCCCCCCCCACAAAGACCATCCTGTGACCACAAGCCAGCCTCGGCTATGGAACACCTTCCCACCCAATGACTACTCAACCCAATCCACAAGCCTGGCCCTCCCTCCCTCCCCCCCTCCCTGCCTGTTGGGTTGGGCTTCTGTTCTGCTCCCCTTCCGTCTCACTCAGAAGAGACAAAGACCCCCCAGTCTTTCTAGAGACGAGTCAAGGGCTTCTTCTCCTTGGTCACCATCACACCCTGAGTCCCCCACTGGGGTGGGAAGGGCCGGGTATACATATAGTATAACAATCATAATAATAACGTGTCCCTCTCCACGGGTTCACGCATCTTCATCAGCCACTCTTCTTCCTTGCGTCGGAATAGCAGGTTCTTTCCATAGCTGGGCATGGGGGGGGGGGGGGCTGCAATCACCCAACCGGGAAGTTGCCTTCCATGCTTCTCGCCTAGTTCATCACGCAGCATCCCCAGCAAGGAAAACCCTGGTCCTGTTGTGATTCTGACCTTTCCCATTTCATCTCTTTCAGCCCCAATCTTTCTGGGCTCTTTGCAAGACCACGACGTATGATTTAATTATTTCATGTCCAAACATTCCATAAATAAGCATAACACTGGTAAAATTGAGGAAGCAACTGAATAGCTTTAGGCCAAAAACAGGCAACAGCAGCTGCATTGTCTGTAGCCCTGAACCCTTCTTCCTCTGTGCATGAGGCAGGACCCTGTGGACAAGCACACAGTGGAGGATTCTTCTGGGTTGTCCCATTTTGCCAGGTTGCCTTTTGACCTGCCCACTCCACTTCCCGGGAACGAAATGCCCCAACATTCTCCTCGCATTTCCACCATTTCCTAGGACTTCCCCTTGACGTCGGAGAAAGCCTCTCTGGCACCAAGTTCCACTGAGACATCATTGCATTAAAAATATTTCCAACCATCCTCCAAAGGAGAATTCAAACTCTTTCTCCAAACCTCCTCCTTCAGTTCCAACTGAATGTGTGTTCCTCGTATATCCGTCTGCCCGTTCAACCCTTCCACACAACGGGTGCAGGCATGTAGCCGGGGGGGGGGCTTGGGGGGCTTCAGCCCCCCCCCCCCCGAAATTCTCAGAGTAGTCCAAGAGAAGGCTTCAGTGGTACGTGGCACAGTGGTGCCCTTTTCCGCGCCTGGGCCCAGGGCACACTCTCTTTCCTTTTTAGTGCCCTTGTTTCAGCCTTTGGTGCTGGAGAGGACCCTTCAAAGGTCCAAAAAGGATGCCGCCGCCACAGCACAGACCATTCAGAGACCACAAGCCCATGCACTCGGCAGGCCTCTGCGCCTGTGCATTGAAGTCTTGCTGGGAGTGGAGTGCATGGAGCCCCTCTGTTGCCTTCTGGGACTCTCTGGATCCAGGTAAACAACAACGCCCATTTGAAAAGGGGCAATCATTCCCCAATCCCTGCCTCTATGCACAATTGGGCACATTGGCTCTATGTGCCAAGTTTAGTCCAGATCCAGCGTTGGCTTGGTTCAATACCCCCTGCAACTCCCAGATCCAAGGTCAATCACCCCCAATCCTTGCCTGTCCTGTATGCACAGTTGGCCATGTTTGGTCCAGATATGATGTTGACTGCCTTCAGTGCTTTCTGGATCCAGGTAAATAATAACTAACTACCATTTGAAAAAGGCAATTATTCCCCAATCCCTGCCTGTATGCACTGTTGGGCACATTAGCTCTATGTGCCAAGTTTGGTCCAGATTCAGTGTTGGCTTGGTTCAATAACCTGTTTATTATTATTATTATTATTATTATTATTATTATTATTATTACACAGTTCTTCTACATTAAAATGAAGTTAGTTATGCTCCCAATATGCTGCCTCCAAACTCCAAAGGCAGAATATGTAATTTAGAGCCTGTATCTTTAAGAGTAGGAGAGGGGTAAGAAGGAGTCCTAGCTTTAGAACGCTGGGATTTGGTTGTTTGGGGATTTCTGTCTAGTTTAAGATTAGAATTAAAAGGAAGACAATAGCTAAAATGAAACGAAGGCAAAAGACCATAACTTCATTCTTGAAAAAGCCCAAAGAGGAAGACATTTCATCTAAAGTTAAAGGTAAGTTAAGTTTGATTCAGAATAACACTAAATTAACTATATATCATACATTGCTTGCTCAATCCTTTTTCTTTTAAAACTTGCACGTATCCTGATTTTGATCCATCTTTTTCAATATTATAATAGCATTTAGATCTATTAGGCTAGTACAAAACAATGAACTTCAATAGACAAGAGAAAATTTGAGGCCTACTAGCACTGACTGGTGTGGTGTGTTCAAGGAACAACTTGCATGATATGACTAGACACAATACGTTTCACTGGCTTCTTTTGTACCGTTAAGTTGTAAATATTGTAGAACAATCTTGGATATATAAAACATATAATTTGTTGTTGAAGGCTTTCATGGCCAGAATCACTGGGTTGCTGTGAGACTACACGGTGAAGCCATTGAAATCCACAAGAAGCATGTGGACAATTTCAACAGAAAGGAGGAAACCATGAGAATGAACAAA